GGAGAACAGTTTAGAACTGATAGAGGCTTAGAGCTATCCAGTATAAATAAAGTTAGTTTAGTTTAGGTTTCCTCCTGTAGTAACACTGGATCAATAAGAGATGATCCTTACTGGACCTTTAGGAAGAACAGTTTAGAACTGATAGAGCTATCCAGTATAAATAAAGTTAGTTTTAGTAGTTAAGAAACTACTGATACATGGACATGATGAACGTACGTGTTTCTTTGGACAATCCTTCACCAATGGTGACTTTGAGAGTTTTACTTGATGGCGCAATGATGGGGAAATCACTTGAACCTGAACACGTGAATGAGAGCGTACGTGTCCCGCCTCCGCCCCAACCCTCTTTCTTCACGACAACTGTGATGCTAGATTGAAAGCAGAGAAACTAAGTTAATGTTGCAATCACACAAAGTCTTTGTGTATGACTTTGTTCTATGACAAAGTCATACTTTTCAATATGTTTATGTAATATTTCAAATCCAACCATGATGACTGGACTAGATTTGAAGTTCGCGAAATTTGATCAAGTCCGAGGCGAAGCCGAGAACTGGTTCAAAATGCGAGGATTTGAAATCTAGTCCAGTCCGAATTGAAGGATTCGAAATGACATCTCATAAGAAATAAATCACTATGGTAGCATCTTACTTGTCTCTGAAGTCTAAAGTCAAAGACTTGCCAACCTCAGCTTCATATTTCTTCGTGAGAACTGTGAGAAGCTCGGTCTTAAACACAGTCTGAAATACAGTATCATATTCTCCAGGAACATGCAGCACAACAAAATCATCTTGTAACGTACTGAAAGATAAACACGACATTGTTAATACCTCTGTTGTAATGGTTCGGTAAATTGTTAGTCTCATAAATATTAATCGTTGGAAGGTCAGCTTAATATGTACATACCTTAGTGAAATCTTTCCAATTTGATTAAGTTCTAGTTTTCTCTTGACAACTTCATAAACTTTGCCCTTCTCAGGACCTTTCTTGACCTAAATGATTACAAATCAATGTTGCCATTCATTCTGTCAAGTATTTAAATGATTTGAAATCACGTGTGCTAAAGTAGCAGTTGTAGTAACATTGGCAATACAGAGGGAAGGCAAAGAAAACTACCTTTAAAATTCCAGCACAAGCAGACGGCCGAAAAAAATTCGTGCAAGCTGAAAATCCCCCCCCATCACTTTTTAACGATCCGCCCCTGAGTACAATTAGACCCTTTGAAATACGATCCTTTAATAAGTAAATAAAATTTTAAAATAATCTGAAATGAACAATATGAACAAGGAAAGTTTTATAGGAAATATTAAAGTTACCTTTTCCCTCCCAATAAGGTAAACGTGTTTACTTGATAAAAGCAAGTCTCTCTTGCTAGGCTGTAAAAAATAAAACAAAGTGTGAGTACATAAAAGTCCTGCAGTTGCGTTTACGCTGCTGGTTCACGCCTTAATGTTTCCACCATGCGCCCAGTGTCAATGTCGACTAGTAACAACCATCCACATAGGAAACGTTTGACAAAACGTTTGTACAAAATATAACGTGGTGTTTTCCTGAACAAAATACATAATCCCGTACACCCACCTTAAACCTTCTATCATATTTTATAGCTGTGATAGCAAACTCAATTCTCTCACGTTTTCCTAAAAGAAAAAATAAAATAGAAACTTGTAACGATACAATGTATCACAATATTCATCGCCAAGCATTCCGCAAGCAGTACAATAAATATGAAAGTGTACCTACCAACTAACGCTCGTAAGGCTGGATTCGTGTCAAACCCAATGTAATCACCAACAAAGTTACGATTTAGAGTCAGTCTTCTTCGTTGTTTCTTCATGTACAGAATATCTGAAGCTAAAATGAAAGAGTTTCGTTGTCGTTATACCGTATCTTTACAAGCAAAAGGAACGTTGTTTGGACATTGGTGATTGGATGGTGGTGGCGTGGTGATAATGGTGGTGGGATGGTGGTGATGCTGTTGATGATGATGGGTGGTGGTGATGATAGTGGTGGTGGTGTTAGGGTGGTGGTGGTGATGATCATGATGGTAATGATGATGGTGGTATAATGATGGTGATGATGGTGGTATAATGATGGTGATGATGGTGGTATAATGATGGTGGTGATGGTGGTAGTGATGATGATAATGATGGTGGTAGTGATGATGATAATGATAGTAGTGATGATGATAATGATAGTAGTAATGATGGTAGTAATGATGGTGATGATGATGGTGGTGATCAGATAAATGATTATCTATATCTACCTTGTTGTTTGAGATCAACGAAGAACTTGCGCATTCTGTATTGACGGAATGCTTTCTGGACCGTTCTGGCAAAACCATCAAATTTCCTCTCACGTACTTCTTCCAACAGGAACAACTGAAAAAATTAAAATCATTTTAAAAATGCCGTCGCACAAACTAGTCTCACAAATTTTCGTGTTAATGTAACTGGTTCTTACCGATTCAGGAGCCTTAATGAAAACCTTGGTCTTTCCCATTTGCCATTGATCTCTCTCCATGTTCACAGAGTTCATCATATGTTCAATTCCCTGCTTTACGTTTCCTGACCAATGTGGCCAGGTTTCAGGCGTTAAGATTGCGTATCTACAAACAATACGATGGTCATACTAAGTTTTCATTTACCATATGAAACTAGAACGACCTCTCGTATTTGCCTTAAGTGAGGGCTTGGCCCATATCTATACGAACATGCCTGGTGATTGGTTGAAAATGAAATCATCTTTC